TGCTTGGCTTTTAGTGGTGTTCATCACCATAGTAACTTATTCTCCACAGCTAACCAGCTCCGGGGCAGGTTATATGTTCTGGTTTAGAGATCTCAACCCAAAATTTGACCAATCAGCTTCAAGCAAAGTGACACATGTCTGACGCAATAAAGCCACTCCCCCAGTTTCTCTTACTCCAAATTAAAGGACGCTACATAGTAAAACATTTTTAAAGATAAAATTGTCTGAATTTTTTATAATTATTTTATATGATTTATATAATTATTGTACCCTTAATCCATTAAACAAGCTGGCTTAGTTTAATAATAATTATTAAACTTTTATTTTAAATTAATATAAACATATAGATAACATGCAATATAAATACGTTTTAGAATCAATAGCTTTAAACATGACTACATATGAGCTTAGATTTTTAAGTGTTTTATACCTATAAATATTATCAACTCTATAAACTAACTTTACAACTTTTACTTGCACTTATATGGCCAGATGTTTTCTTTACGTTTCCCTCTTTCATGGAAAGATCGTTTCATCTCATGTAAATGTGTTTAAATTCTTCATCTTGTTCAATCTTTTAATCTTGCACCGAGAATCGCACCGACTCTCTCACGAGAAGTGAATCACAGTTTCAAGGCATGTGATTGGCTGTTCATGACTGATGTCACTCTTTCATGTGCACGCGCTCCATTAACTCAGGATCAAGCCTGAAAGTTGATGATCAGCTTCATGGTACCAACAAAGCCGGATTGGAGTGGTTCGATAAAGTAGGTAATTAAAATGTGACTTTCCTTTGTTGCAGGGGGGCGCTGGAGGCATATGTGCAGTCTGTCCGAGTCAGGCAGGGGAAGGAGTTTGCCCCGGTGTATCCCATCATGCTCCAGCTGCTGCAGAAGGCCACAAGCGTCTCATAGGATCTGCAAACAGAGCCATGTCTCATCAGAATAATGTAGACAATTCGTCATAACAATACACTTGTATTCACCAAAAGAAGTCTTTATTATATTTCATTACATTATGATGATTATTTTGTTGAAGTCAGAAATTAATGTGTATAGGTTTACGATGTATTTTTTATGGGTTGTTTGATTACTACTGGCTTTAATAAGAATCCCTACCTTTTAAACAAATGTACACATATTTAAAAATAATCTGTTTTGCTGGGTGCAAAATTATTACTAAACACATTATGTAAATGCTGATTAAAGAATGTCTTATTCCTTCATCACAGATGTCTCGTTCATCACAGGTTTTGATTTATAACTATAACAGTTATATATCTGACGAGTTAGCTTTTCACATATTTTCAGATACAGAAAAATAGTTTGGATCATTTTGATTGCATTTTTTGCAAGGACACTTACTATAAAATTAATGCAATGACACCTAGGCATTTTAATTGTGATTTAACTGTCCAAATACTAACCTATGTTGGTGCTAGTATACACTAGTCAACATTTGAAGTGAACCTTTCATCAATGCGGTCCTAAAACCAAAATGCGTTCTTGTCTTAGGACAACTTTGATTAACTTTCTTGATCCACTTCAAATGTTGACTATTATATATAAAACAGTAAAAGGAAAATGACAGTGTTGCTTTGAAAAAGGACATGTATTTATCACTATCATACGATTTTAAATAACAATAGATGGCGTTTTTGAGATCCTTTAAGTCAGAAGCGTGTTAAGTAATAGTTGAGAGTCATAGCATTGTTTAATAATAGTACATAACAGGCTGTTAGCTGTATTACTGTAGGCCTGGTGAATATTAAGATGCCTCTTAATATTCGGCTTTGGTTCTGGTTCAGTTCTTCTTCCTGTCTGTGAATCCTCAAAGTCTTTCCTTTGCCACCAGGGGCCAAGAGAGATCCTCTTTTCATGTCTATCTCCACCTTACACTCTTTTGACACTGTTTTATTTGACCTACACGGCACAATCCCAGATTTTATTGTTTAATTTGTGCCGTCTGTGGGCTTGCCAGTAATATGCTGCTCTAAAACATTAATTCAACTTCTCTTTCTCTCCAGTTTTGCATAATCATGCAAATGTGATTCATCCACTTGACTAACCGCTCCTTGAAAAATGTAATTAATTTTGTGTGTGCTTCTCAGACAGACCGTTAATCTGAAATATTTCACATTGCCATAGTGCACCAGTGCATATTTGATCTCATATAAATAACTGATCATGACATATAAATGACATTAAAGATGATATAACATGCACCCAAACAAACCCAAGATATTTTACATACAGCTATTTTAAGATTATTAAGATCCATGTAAAATGGAAATGAAGTCTTACCCAGCATCTTATGGTATTTCAGCTCTCACAAAAGCAGAGGATGAAGACCTTGAATATAGATAAAAGAGGCTTGAAAACTGAAATAATAAAAAAAGCAATAATCTGATAGCTTTTAAAACATACAACACAATATAAATCATTAAACAGAGTGCATTAAGAGGGAAATGCAACAAACTTAAGTGAAAACACATACACTATATGAATGAATGAACGCTATATATTGATATGATTTTACATAGTTATTTTACATATTTACTCATAGTTTTCTAGTTTCGTTTTAAGCAATAATGTGTGTGCATACATGCATATATGCATGTTTTATGACATTTGAACTGTGATGACTGATACATATCGGTTTTATTTGGTTTATACAGGTTCATTAGTTAGATACATCCTATTATTAGATATATTATTCGATTTCTGTGGTTATGACATTGAAAGTACGCTCATGTGGGGGTAGTTTGTGGGTGTGGGGTATCTTCTCATATTACACTCTTTCCCGCGACAAAACCCTCAGTCGCGCCAAAACCCCACCTGTGTCACTCACCTTTGTTCCTGCCTGAGCTTGTCATTAATACCTGTCAGGAGACACTCGGCAATTATTTAATGTCAATTAATCACCTGTGATGATTAATTATGTCCCCGCTGAGTTACAACGGCGCCTTTAAAACTTCAGGCGCGCCTGTAATAACCGCAGAAGCAGATCAATGAAGAGCGCGCCTACTGCCCCGCCAACAAACCCCCACAGGCTTGGTCAGAACGCGTCTCTGATTGGCTACGACGGTCGCTCTGAGGCATTTCCTCCTAGCTCGGCCAATCACCGTCGATATATTTGCATAGCGGCGACGTGATTGGCTGAGGGAGGGTGTAACTCTTCAGAGCGCCAGAAAACAAGCTTTAGCGGGTGATTATTCCTACTCGCCTGACCATCGGTACGACCGAAATAAGAAGATTACTAGTTCAGATCTTCTTATTTAGAGAGAAAATTATGTTCATTTAAGGAGGAAAAGGAACGATTTTTCTATTCCAAGGACGGAACTTTAAGGTAAGAATATAAGGTTAAATCTTCTATCTGACTTGCATGATCTAATATAAAAAAATAATGTAAATTAATCTCCTTAAACTCAAGTTTGACTTTCACTGGCAGACATTTTAACAGTGTTCAAATAATCAGAAAAACAGGATTTTTATTAAAGGACTTTTAATATCATAAGCATGCTGCTAGGCTCCTACAATATAATGCAAAATAAAATATTGTGACAATCATATCAATATAAATTACCATTACTTAAAAAGTTTAATCATCATATTTTTTATTCTGAGAATCTGGTTTGGTTACCAGGCAACTGGTGAAGATATTTGCGCCAAAATCTTGCCACCATCATCAGATCTCGGATCACTTTTTAAGAACGTGATCATAAGTCATATGATTCTTACTTAATACCGTATAATATTATGTATTATAATACCCAAGATAATAACGCAGTGTCTTTTACTAGAAGTATTTGAATAACTTTTGGCAACATGTTATAATAACTTAATTAGTTAGTAACAAACATCACATTAATACTTTACACATCAGTTTATTTATATTCAGATATGTAATTTATGCAGATATATACTATATAACGTAACAATTTTGGTATATGTTAACAATGCAGAAGTTAATATTAATTTAACAGTGTCATTCATATGTAATAACATAATTCGGTAATAAACTAATTTACTGATAGCTTAAATGTACTGGTTATGACTGATTCATTTGTCTTTTTTTAGATGGAGATGAAGTGTTTAACTTTAAAGGATTTGCTTAGTGTGAGGACGCTAGTGAATAAGACAGGCTCAGGTGATACTGGCAACATAAATGACCAAAAAGTAAGAGATCTAAATGTAATAAAGCATTATTATATGACAGTGCATCTCCTGCCTCATTTGATGTCTAACGAATAGCCTGATTTCAGGAGAACATCTGCATGGACAGAAGGAAAATGACCCCACTGAAGTGTGAGTCTGTGAACGGACATAGGAGAGTTTCCAGCCCAGATATCACCCATATAACCCCCATCAAACACACAGAGAGGGTCCATCCGGACCCCTGGACCCCAACAGCCAACCTGAAAATGCTGATCAGCGCCGCCAGCCCAGATATCCGCGACAGAGAGATGAAGAAAACCCTCTTCAGACCCATTGAAAATGAAGAGAAGGCTATAGAGGAGGATGAAGAGGAAGAACTCGACGACTCGAGTCAGGTATCAAAAGAAGAAGTCTAAATCAGTGTAATGTTTGGAAACTTAAGGTACTCTTATCAACAGCAGCTTAGAACATGCATTTCATCTTAAATATGTTCAGTATCTTAATATGTTCAATAGTTTTAGCTGGTTTTATCTCTCTTTATTGCAGTATGAAGAGGTAGACGATTCTGAGAGGAGACCCAGCCGTAAACAGAAGAGTTTGGGGCTTTTGTGTCAGAAATTTCTGGCCTTGTACCCTGATTACCCAGAAACCTCTGAAAGCATCAATATTTCTCTGGATGAGGTGGCCACACGCTTGGGTAAGAGAAAATAAATCATAATCAAATCCCTTATTTCTGTATAAAATACTAATGTAATGTAATGACTAGTGGTTCGATATGGCAAAAAAATATATATATGTTTACATTTACATTGTCATTTTGCCAACGCTTTTATCCAAAGCGACTTACAATTGGGGAATACATAAAGCGATTCTTCTTAAAGAGGCAAACAGACACGCAGACGCTTTTATCCAAAGTGACTTACAATTGGGGAATACATAAAGCGATTGTTCTTAAAGAGGCAAACAGACACAGGAGGTGCTTGAAATACCAAGTTTTAGGCATTGTTCAAATAAGTACAAGCTAGAAAAGCTAGAAAATAAATTTAAAAAAAATGTTTTAAGAAGAATTCAAGTAGCGTTTAAAGAGATGAGTTTTCAGAGTTTTCATATATATATATATATCAAGTCAAGTTCAAGTTCAAGTTGAGCTTTATTGTCATTCTGCTGTATATATATATATGATATCACACTATTTGGTTTAAAGATAGTAAAAACATGCATAACAATTGCTAAAATTATATATATTTACATAGAATTTTAGAAATTAGAAATAAATTATTTGAAAGTGAATTGCATGATAAAATAATTAGAATAAACTGATTTTTACTTCAAATGGCAACTTGATTCTGTAATCCTATTATAGTATTTTTTACAAATAAATAATGCTTGCTGAATGCTGACGGTAGATAAGAAAGTATTATAGCGTTAACCAATATATTACTAATAATAGAAAAGCAAACACTTTTTTTGTATACAGTTTGCTTTCTTTCTATAACAGTTCTGTATAATAATTATTAGACAGAACTGTTAAACACATTAAACTAATGAAAACAGCAAATTAATTATATGGAAAAATAACCTGAACTTGATCAAATAAATCTGGGAAAATTAACAGATTTATGCTTTAGATGGCAACTTCTTGATGCTGTAATTTAAATTATTAATACATTAATTATTAAAATGAGAAATAAATTATTTGAAAGAGAACTGCATGAAAAAATAAGTAGAACTTGATAAAAAAAAATCCTTAAACAGATTTATGTATTTATTTTTTAATAATATTTACAAAATTAGTAACAAATTATTTGAAAGTGAATTATTAGAAAAATTAGAATTTTATTTTAAAAAATCTGAAAAATAAGCAGATTCATACTTTAGATGGCAACTTCAATAATAGAAAAGCAAACACTAGTTTTTGTATACAGTTTACTTTGTTTAACAGTTCTGTGTAATAATTTATTAGACAGTACTGTTAAACAGACATTAAACTAATGAAGATGGAAAATAATCTGAACTTGATCAAATAAATCTGTAAAAATAAGCAAATTTATACTTCAGCAACTTCTTGATTCTGTAATCAATTATACAAATAAATTTTATTTTATTTACAAAAAAATAATATTATTTTTACAAATAAATGTGTTTGCTGAATGCTGACGGTAGATGAGAATGTATTATAGTGTATACCAATCTATTACTAATAATAGAAAAGCAAACGCTATGATATTTTTTCATATACCGTTTACTTTCTTTAACAGTTCTCATGCACAACATAAAAGTCCTGTAAGCCATCAAAATAAAAGTGCTTCCCACATCGGCCAAACTGTTAATTAAAAATTGCAAAATGTCCACAAGTAGTGACTGTCTCTGTGACGCAGGTGTTGAGAGGCGACGTATCTACGACATTGTGAACGTGCTGGAGTCTCTGATGCTGGTGAGCAGAATGGCTAAGAACCTGTATGTGTGGCACGGACGCTCAGCTCTGCCACTGACCCTGCAGGATCTCCATCAGGCGGGTCGTGAGCAGGGCTACCATCTGCAGATGGACCAGAGAGAAGGAAGTTGCCCGTGTGCTGCCCACCACATGCAAAACACGCACGGTATGACACTAAAATATTCCTGTTCATACTTTTTTGAAGTATTCGTTATTAGTGGTCGATCGATATCGTTTTTTTGACTGCCGATGCCGATATCTTTTAAAGCAGGGTGGCCGAAGGGAAAACTGGAGGCGGCCCATTCAAACCAGCACAGATTCAGCTACATGAGCTTAAAATATCATCTTGTTGTGATGTTGGGTGCCAGAATCGACGTAATACAGCCTCAAATTAGAAATTGTATCGCATACCTGCTGCCAGACAAAAAACCGACAACAGCTGTGGTTAAATGCGATAAAACGAGCGGACTGGACAGAAACGATCGTCAAAAATGCTCGCATTTGCAGCGCACACTTCTTATCAGAAAAGGTTCAATAAAGTATTGTCTTTTGTTGTTATGGGGGCGTCTAAAGATTTCTTATGCATCTCACGACTATGTCGTGTATGAAATAATGTCTGTGTGCATGTGTGTAAAACAACAAACTGACAATTTATATGTTTAATCATTTGTAATTGTATATACATTGTTGTGATTAATTGTGGCTGGAATAATAATGTAGCTGTAAAAATAGTTGCCTGCTGAAATTGAAATGTATATACATCTTTATGACTAGATAGTTAGATGTGAGTCACTCAACCGGTAACGTTAATCCTGTCAGATCGTCCAAGCTTTGAGTGAGCGTGTAGGGTCGGACGATCTGGTTTCGTTCCGTTAAAGTTAACCTTTTCAAATAACAATCGCGGTCCCGGACAGTGAGTGACCTTACATATGCAGGTAAAATCGTATTTTCTCCAGTCATTGTTAAAAGAACAAGCTAACAAACTTCATAACTAGCTTTAGTGAAGCGGTCAGGTGAATCTTTCTGCCTCCACCTAAGCGCCGCCCACAGAAAAACGTCACAATGTTTACTAACAGAAAAAGGGTCACCAAGCAACGGCTTTCCTTTCTAACAAAAGCTTATTACCGTCCCGTCATGAGGGCAGGAATCACTCGACCAGCCAATTCACCGAGCAATCATGCCTTTCCTCATATCCACTAACGATTTTCTGCTGCCAGTCACCTCAAATTTATTCACCCATCCTTTATTCATGTCTTCCATTGTCTTTTTTATGCCACATAGGGCTGGGCAATATGGCAAAAAAAATATATAATTTCCAGAACGTTTGACCGATTCTCGATTTTTTTTTAATGATTTTTAACTAGTCAACTTGAAAATTGTATTGTAACTACAGCATGATTAAAGTAGCATAACTTTTTCTTTGTTAAAAATCTAGTTAAAGTCCAAGTGCACGACACATGAAGTTGTCAACATGATGTAAATGTTAAACAAATCACTTGTTAAATATCTTTGCAGAAAAGATGCATGAACTACATCTTGTACAAACTTGTCTTATACATATTATATGTTCAGAAATAATACGAGGAAAATGCTTTCAAATAAATCTCAAGATTGTCAATGTAATTCATATTCAAAATGACTGAAGGTATAGCACCAGTATTATTAACTGTAAATGTTCTGTAAAAACAATGAACAATGATGCAAACATGAAATATCAGACATACAGTAGTAGTTACAGGTCTTTTATTCGCTTGCGCTGATTTTCCTTTTTTTTTTTCTGTGTAAACATGGACGTGTTTGACTGTTGCGCTCGGGTCTCATGCATGAAACGGCATTGTAAAAATGCGCCGCTCAAGATAAAAGAAGTTCTTAGCGATATGATAATGTCAAAACATTAAATTCGAATTAATCGATAAAATCAGAAAAATCGCCCAGCCCTAACGCCACAATTGTTAAAACTGAAAAAGCATAATTCCTCGACTTACCAAAAAAGACTTGTCAACTTTCTTAAGTTGCTGTATGATTTTCCAAAGACCTTTATTTTAAAGACAAATGCATTAATGCCTGGAATGCCAACTTTGACATGTTTTACAGTGTTGTAAGCATGGTTTATCTCTCTCATACAGCGGCCTCCAGCAGACGAAAGGATAAATCGCTTCGTATCATGAGCCAGAAGTTTGTCATGCTGTTTCTGGTGTCCAAAACACGGACCGTTACCCTCGATACGGCTGCTAAGATTTTGATCGAAGAGGGCCAGGATGAGTCCAGCCACAGCAAGTATAAAAGTAAGACAATTTTAATGTTAAAAATAACATGCATTCCGTTATTGATTAAGAGTAGCTCACAATCTTTTTTGTGTTTGTTTAGCTAAGGTGCGACGTTTGTATGATATCGCTAATGTCCTGACCAGCCTGAATCTGATCAAGAAACTTCAAGTACGAGAGGAAAAGAGTCGTAAACCTGTCTTCAAATGGATCGGACCCACTGATTTCCGCAGCAGCAGCGGTACGTCTCGTTTAACCCTTAAAGACCTGAGGGTCAAATAGGTCATTTTCACAGATTTTATTTATTTGACTGTAAAATTCTAACAGAATGTGCTATTTTCAAGTGCAAGGTGTCATTTTTTTTTTCAGAAAACAAGTACAGTTTTTGACCATTAATGTTGTGTGGTGAGTTTGTAAACAGAATTTAAATAGACAAAAAAAACAAAAAACAGGAATACATTTTCTGTTTTTTTATTTAGAAAAAAAGAGAAAAATCATGATCGAAATAATTACGCTAACTCAACTACATTTTCAGCTTAGTGTTCAGCTAAAAGTTCAACTTCAATTACAGTACCAGCAGACATTTTTTATGTCATGTTGAGTAGCGCACGCGAGCGAGTTGAGATAATTCTCTCGGTGTGCACTCTTTCTCCCTCAAATGTACAACTGTACTGCCCAATTCGTTCCAGTGAGTCAGTTCTTCCTCAACAAGCCTCCTAAATGGTCCTCTCTCTCTCGTATGTAACGCAGGAAAGTCTGACGCATTTTAGTGAATCGGTTAAATGGTCCTCATACTGTATGTAGGGCTGGAAAGTCTGATTAATTTTAGTGATACATTTTTGGATTTTTATTTAGGAAAAAAAAAAAGAAAAATCATGATCGAAAGAATCCAACTCTTCATACTTGAAAATTCAACTATATTACATATATACAAGTCTTTTTGTGGCACTGGGTTGCACAGTTTTCATTCAGGAGGCTTTTTTGTTCATACACACACACATATACACGTGCGTGCATATACATACGCACCCATACACACAATCGTTTTTGTGCTGTTTACTCCTCCTTCACTATGTTTTTGTTTGTTTTATTATTTTATGCAATTCAAAACTCCCGCTCTCCTGGAAATTTGCTGGCAGAGTGCAAGAAATTACCGTAATAAGCCATAACTTGCCAAAAAGCGCATGTTGTCTACTGTCAGGAGCCATTTTTGATAGTGTAAACAGTTGAAGAGTTACGGTAACATGAATACAGCTTGGTTTTATGTGTTGGCGCCGACACAGTCGGTTTAAAGGCACAAAATATCCAAAAACTACTTGCACAGTGTGATATATTTCATGCAGTTGTGTATTTATGTTATCCCAAAAGTTCCCAAGGATTAGTAAATCCAGAGAAATTCCCATTTTAAATAATGGCTCGTCCCTGGTCATTGTCGCCTATCAATGACGTAATCTCCGCACTATCCTCAGTTTCAGCTTGTAGAAACTATGGCAACACACGAACACAAATACTGCTGTACAGTTCAACTAAATCCATTACGGCTGTCGCGAATAAAATGAAAATTAAATAAAAAATGTGTTGACAGCAGCATTAAATTTAGATCTGCTTAATGTTGCTCCATGATTTTTTATGTGTTTTTACAGTGTTGTGCATTATAACCAATCACACGCGAATCTGTTGAAAAATCATTGAAAACTTACATATTGTGCCTTTAAAAGGGTTAAACACTTGAAAATTGCTTTTAGTCTCTTCAGCGTGATTATATTGTGATTATTTGTTGCATGTCTTTTAGATTCAGACGATTTGAGAGTCTCAGCAGCTCAGATCAGCACCACCGGGGAACGACGGGAGAAGATGACGCGTCACTCCTCCTTTCAGGTCATTCCTGCACCTCCTATCAATCAAAGGCGGATAAGCTCCGCCCCCAGCACACCTCACAGACCTTCTACAGGTGAGAGCTGAGCTGAACTGAACACTTTCCATAATCTTTAGAGTGTCATTTACATTTGTTGGAACTGTAGTTTAGGCAACGTTTTTTGTGTTTGTATTTTCAGACGAGCCGGTGGATTATTCTAGGAAGAGTGTGAACACCAGCTCAGTGTGTCGACTGCGGTTTGGAGACAGGTGAGTGCACCTGTATAGAATTTGTATTTGAAGAAATTTACACATTTCAAACTTTAGTCGTTTACAAACACTGGGTAAAGATCTAGGCTGAAAGGTTGTAGGTTCAAACGCGAAGCATAACCATTGTGCCCTTGATTACTAACATTGTTAATTCAGTGTTATATATATATATACTACACTGAAAAAGATTTCACTCAGAAATTGCTAGTAAATTTCACAAAAAATACAAAGAAATAGCAAGGTAAAACTGAATTAAACATAACATTTTCAAGTAGAAAAACTAGTATTTTTTTATATAAAATGTCCTCCAATAATGGTTTTATTTACAACTTTGAAAATTCATTTTTACAGTGCATTATGGTATTTATAATATTTTAAATTAGGTTTTATTTTTAGATTTCCGTTTTTCATTTCAATTCTGTTGTGCTTTTGTCATTTTATATAATTAAATTATTTTTGTACCTCTATTTAGCGTTATTTTATTATTATGTCAGTTTTATTAATTTTAGTACTTAAACTTACTAGTTTGAAAATTTCAAAAATAATTTTTACAGTGTATTGTAGTATTTATAATAACATTTTGAATTTGCTTTTATTTTTAGATTTTCAGTTTTAATTTTTGTTTGATTTTTCTTATTAGAACATGAATATTTTGAATTAGCTTTTTTGGGGGGTTCAGATTTCATTTCAATTTTAATTAGATTTTCTGTAATTTGTTCATTCTTATGTAGAATATATTAATATTTTGAATCAGCTTTCATTTTTAGATTTTCTATTTTAATTTTACTTAGATTTTTAGTAATTTTGTCATTCTTATTAGAATATATTAAAGGGTTAGTTCACCCAAAAATTAAAATTAGGCTGTGTTTTACTCACCCCCGAGGCATCCTAGGTGTATATGACTTTCTTCTTTCAGACGAATCCAGTCGGAGTTATATTAAAAATTGTCTTTGATCTTTCAAGCTGTTTAATGCCACTCAGCGGGTGTTGCATTGCTTCAGTCCAAAAGAACTTTGAAAAAAGTTTGATTTGATTTGAAAAAATCGCCCATCCATAAAAAAAAGTGTCTCACACGGCTCCGGGGGGTGCTTTAATTCATTTCAATTTTGTAGTGCTTTTTTTTTTTTTCATTTTTATTAGTTTTTTCATATCTTTTTAGCTTTATTTTTGTGTGTGTGTGTTAGTTTTAGAACATTTTAGTACCTTAACTTAAACTTGTTTTTCGTTTAATTGTCATTGCAACAATCTACTTTAAGTTTCATTTTTCCATATAGTGTTTATATTTTATTTTATTTCAGCTTTACTTCAGTTAACTAAAGCTATTTTTAGTTTCAAATTAACAACAACAGCACTGATCACTAACTAGAGTGTTCTGTACATTTGTAGTGTTCAGCCCAGTGGAAGTCCTGTAGTGTCACTAGCAGTCCCTCTTCAGGCTGATGTGCCGCATGCATCACTGCCCGTTTCTGCCCAGTTCGCTCCTCACACGTTAGCGTACCTGCCCGGTCTGCCACAAACACCCCTGCTCATGGTGTACAGCGGACACGTGCCAGACGCCGTCACCCAGAGGTCACCCGTCTCAGGCCACAGGGAGGCACATCTGAAGAAGAGAGAGAGACAAGAGGAAGAGGATGATGATCAGGCAGCTAAACAAAGCAAACGCTCTGCTTCCATAGAAAGTCAAATGGTGGGTCAGATTAAATGAGTCAGATTAAAACTATATGCATATACATATTTTAGCATATTACTGTGGGTCATTTCTGTCAAATATTTCAATTTATTTAATAACATTTTATTTGTATAGCACCTTTCATACACAAAATGCAGCTCAGAATATAAAAAATAAACATCAATAAATAAAATAAGACAATAAGCAATGACAAAAATTTAAGGAAGGAATAATACAAAAAATACTACTAAAGGTGCTATACAAATAAAATATGTTTTAAACTGAAGTATCTGAAATAAAATCACACGGATCATTTTAACTTTATATATAATTACAAATGTTATATATATTTACATTAATATACATTATGTCATTATAAAAACATAGCTTAACAAAAATAAACAATAAATATAAGACAAACATTTTTATAAAATAATAGTTACATATATATATATTATTGAGTATGATATGAATTGAGTATATATGAAGATAAATTTTACCATGGTGAAATCACTGTAATGCACAATCTTGAGGGGCTTATTGGTTTTATAATGGCGGCATCCACAATATTATAAACTGTCATTATGAAACCTGTAATTTGATCTCTGACTTTTGTGAATGTCTCACAGGGCGAGACTGAGAGTCTGAGCTCCAGCGCTAGAAGGTCTCCAATCTGCTCTCGAGAAGGTTCCCCGTGGGACGAGGCCTCGTTTGGGCCGATGAATGAGGAAGATGCGGGAGCACCCAGCCCTAAAGACCCCCTGCTGTCCTCTCATTACCTCTATGTTCCCAACACAGCAGGTACACAAAAACCTGAGCAGTGAATGTCATTGAGTACGTTTACATGCGCACGAATAATGCGATTATTTCCAATAATCAGAGTAAGGACTTAATCGCATTATGTTGTTTACATGTCAAGATAAACATCTTCACTCCCGTTTACATGCAATTTCCATTATTCGTATTATTCGCTAAGAATTGTGGTTATTTTTTACCGCCATTATTCACATATGCCACTGCACAGAACAAATGATGGACTCAGAAAGAGTATAGGTGTGTTACATGGCCGCTGTTTTAATTTATTTACGTCGACAACTTGAACTCTGTTTCAAGTTTCATCCCCAGAAATGCGATGCTTTCTTAATCGCCATCGTTTCTAATCTGCGTATTAATGATGTCCGGTTCGCGAACGAACCGTTCTATTTAACCGGTTCTTCTTAGTGAATCGGTCGAACCAGTTCACCAAATCGGACTGAATCGTTTGGAACGGTTCGCGTCTACAGTAAGCACTCATCCACAAAGTACGTCCCCATGCGACTCCAGAATTTCACTGGATTTTCATTTTTAATTTACTGAATGTTTCAAGTGCAGTTAATTATTTGTCATGCTATACGTGTGTTGTTGAAGCCATGCTCTTTTGTTTGCCGTCAAACGGTTGACCACTGCCGTGAGTGAATCCTGTCGCAAAGTTTTTTCTTTTATTTATTTATTTAGTCATTTATCAGATGCTTTTATCCAAAGCGACTTACAAATGAGGACAACAGAAGCAATCAATTGTAGTATTAAAACAACTAAAAACAGATCCAAAACTAAAAGCTAAAACTTTATAAATACTACCTATACACATTTTAAAATAAAGAGATTAAATAAAAATGACAAATGCATACAACAAAATTTCAAAACTTAACATTTAAATGAAAAACAAAAAATAAAGCTAAAAACAATTAAAAATATTAAAGAACAAAAGGTATGAGTATAATAATGATTCTAACATAACACTAAGCCAAACACCAAAAAAAACAACTACATATGTGTATGTACAACCACACATACACACATATATATATATATATATAAATACACATTTATAAATTCAATATATATATATATTATTTCATTTAAATTTAGTTTGTTGAAGTATTAAAATAACTCAAATTACATAAAACTAAAAACTTAATAAAAGACCTATACAGACATAATAAATTCAGACATAATGTAACTAAAATTAAAATAAATAACAAAATACAAATAATACAAATCAAATGACAGTAGTTTATCAGTAATCCTAAAAAATAACACACATGCAAAATGTGTTGAAAAGTCCTACACAATGGTAATTATTACACGACGGTGTGATTAAGGTGTGTACATGTCTATACTGCACTTCAATAATGAGACTAAAATAGGGATACTACACATGTCTTAATTCGATTTGTGTTTACATCGAGTATGACTTTAGCCGGATTAAGGTAATCAAAAATCTCTGTTTACATGGCAGATTCTTAATTAGAGTACTGTCTTAATCGTGTTAAAATTAGGGATGCTCTGATCCGCCTTTTTTGCCTCCGATACCGATTCCGATACCTAGGGTTCGGTATTGGCCGATACCGATTCCGATCCGATACCAGTGAAGTTTTTTTCCCTCATTTAAATAAATGTAGAATTTTTATATCTCTGTGTGTGGAACTGATAATCATTCCTTCACAATCTACTAGATACAGACTACTTCATTATAAAGAAAAATAAAATAAACAAATATGAAAAAATATAGGCCTATGTATATTTATAATCTATGACAAAAATTAAACTAGGTTAGTGGATAATTCGGCAGCAAAAGTTATTCTAGAAAAATCAGTGCACAAT